TGGCCATTGGGAGCTGTTTCAGTTGACTCCTGTGCCACTGACATTCCCATCATTGGTGCCTTTTTGGCACTTTTTTTTTTAACTTTTTGTTGAAGTGTAGTTTTTTGCAATGTTGTATTGGTTTCTGAAAGTGAAAGTGTTCATCTCAGTTGTGTCCGACTCTTTGTGACCCCATGGACTGTAGCCCACCAGCCCATTCCATGGCTCCTCTGTCCATGGAATTCTCCAGACAAGAATACTGGAGTGGGTTACCATTTCCTTCTCCAGGGGATCCTTCTAACCCAGGGACTGAACCCTGGTCTCCTGCATTGCAGGCAGACTCTTTACTGACTGAGCTACCAGGGAAGACCTGTATTGGTTTTTGCTGTATAGCAAAGTAACTCAGCCACACATATAATGTATCTACTCTTCCTTGAATTCCTTCCTGTTTAGGTCACCACAGAGCACTGTGCTATACAGTAGGTTCTCATTAGTTATCTATTTTATACATAGTAATGCATATATATCAATCCCAATCTCTGATCCATCCCACCATCCCCCTCCCCAGCACTTTCTTACTTTCTGGCACTATTAGATACTCCAGGCTCACCGTGTACATTTCTTGTTCCAGTTCTATAATCAGGATTTCTCCAAGGCTCCTCCATTCCTTTTATCGAAGAATGATAGAGAAATGAAGATCTGAGCATTAGGTGTGCTCATTGCTGCTGGAGTGTTTATTTCTAGGGCTTCTCAGTTAACAGAGACAGAAATGCCATAGGTGCATAATAACTTACCCTGTATATTTATTTGTATCTACAGGTCTATCTGTTTATACATCTGTACTTGTATTAAGCTAAATAGGAGTTCACACTGATGTCTCCAATTCTAATCTATTATCACGTAGATCATTCTAGTTTTCTCCCTTTGTTTGTCTGTAATGTTCCACTTCCAATGGAGAGAAACCTGGCTCCCACCTTCTGCCATCCATTTACTTAATTGTCTAATTCCAGGATCCATGTATAGTGGTTTCAGTTTATAGGCTTTTATTGAAGAAAGTTGAAGCCAATTACTCATTCCTAAGTGCCATTATGGACTGCCCATAAGAATGGCAATAGGCATCTATCTGCTATTATTAGTGCCATTTGGAGAGTGTTAGGAAAATTAAAATAATCATCAAATATTTGTCTTACATGTAAATGGATTCTATTCGATTCTACAAACATTTGCAAAGAGCATCCCATATTATTGACAGGTACAGATGAAGGTGTGGGGGGTAATGAAGGGACTCTTCAGAAGAAAACACATTTTGTAAGCATATTGAGTGCCTGCTGGGTGCCAAGCTATTGGAGAAGCAAAAATGAGACGGATTCAATTTAAAAGTTTAAATGGCATCCAGTAGACACACAAGAACCAGGTATAGAGCTAAAGAGAGACACATAGAGCCTGACAGGTATTAAAATACTTGCATAGCAAAAAGGAAAGAGAGGAAACTTTACCTTGGGGAAGACAGAGAACCTTTACAGAGCTGATACTTGCCCTGAGCTTTGAATGCTCACGCTCAGTCGCTAAGTCGTATCCGACTCTTTGCAGCTCCATGGACTGTAGCACACCAGGCTCCTTTCTCCATGGCATTTCCCAGGCAAGGATAACTGGAGTGGATTGCCATTTCCTCCTCCAGGGGATCTTCCTGACCCAGGGATTGAACCCACAATCTCCTGCATTAGCATGTGGATTCTTTACCACTAAGCCACCTTGGTGGCCTGGGCCTTAAATAAAAGCAGAAACCGAAGAAATTCAGGAAAGAGAGAGAGGTGGAGAAAGAGGGAGATAAAGAGGATCCTGGGTCAAAGGAACAATACGCACGGAGGCACAAAGGCACATTGTTCTTAAAAAATTCTCGGTATCCCATTTACCTTCTCCTAATGATATCCTATGGCTGCTAAGTGACCTTGTTTCCTGGTAAACCATAAATATGAATGATTAATGGAGGTTTGTGCTTTGGAAACACAGTGACATTTGAAACATCTGCACTATTTCCAGTGTGGGACAAACAGTGCAAAAGTGAGTTCCTAATAGCATCCTCTGAGAATTAGCTTTTTAAACAACAGACACGGAGATTATGCCCGAGGAAGCAATGGAATAATTAGGTTTGTGATCTCTTGGGTCTAATGGAACAAATCACTTCCTTTTTTTTTACTTGAGATTAGCCCAATGATTAAACCATACTTTTTAAAATGTTAGAATATTATCCTACCCTTTCTGAGTGAAAGTTAAAGTGTTAGTCATTCAGTCATATCTGACTCTTTTGTCACCCCATGGACTGTAGCCCACCAGGTTTCTCTGTCCATGGGATTCTCCAGGCAAGAATACTGTAGTGGGGTGCCATTCCCTTCTCTGGGTAATCTTTCCAACCCAGGGATCATACCCGGGTCTCCTGCATTGCAGGCAGATTCTTAACCATCCGAGTCATAAGAGGAACCCATATGACCCTGAACACTGTATAATCTTCTCCAGGGTTATATGAAAATGGAAAATTCATTTTTTTAGGAGTTAAAAGAGTAATCATCACAAATTTATTTATTTTATCTGTTTGAGTCTATCATACTTAGTAACTTGGTTTGTCTTATTTTTATAAAAGTAACCTGCATCCCTGTATAATGACATTATGCCCACATGTTCTTTCTCTTTGTGGTATCATCACCAGAAATAGTTTTCCTATTTGTCACTTCAATACACATCAGTGTTCTCAAACCAGAGCCATCTATTCTCAATACCTAGAATTCTTTACTACATCAACTTTAATCAGAAGCAATCCTCTTGAAAATACCATTAATAATTTTAACTTCATTCAAAAATATTGGGTTTAAACCTGGGAAATACAAAAACATGGAGCCTAAAGATTTTAAATATTAATAAGCTAGTGTTTAAATTTTGTCTATTAAATTAGAATAAAGAGGACTAACTCTAAAGCATAAAGGGATGAATTTAGAACATGGGAAGTTGCCTTTACAAACCAGAGCTTCAAGGTGGAAGGAACCTCCATGAATATATCAATTCATTGATGTTTGGGGATAATTTATTAAAGCAGCAAATACTACTATAACTAATCTACCAATTCTACTTGAAAGGATTAGTGAATGATTCAAAGTTGACTTCTTAGTCATATATGAGGTTTTTCAAGGAATTCATATAGGAAAGATGGAAGCGGGAAGGGATAGAACATTTGTATATAGAAAATAGCATGAGCAAAGGTGTAAGAATCTGAAAACATGATCATATAAAGTGTTTTCAGTCATTCAGTATGATATAGTATAATATCACATATGTTAATTACATATTATATATGTACTTTTAGATGTATAATATAATGATTTGATATTAGTATATGTTTCTTAATGATCACCACAATAAGCCTAGTTAATGTCTGTCTCCATACGTGTTACATACATAGCAGTGTTTTTTAAATATAACAGAAAAAATGGAAAAGAACTAAATATTACTCGTAGGGAATAAATTGTGGTCTAGCCACATAATGAAATATTATCTAGCAGTTAAAAACCCATGAGAAGTGCATTCACTTGTCATGATAAGGATAGATTTAAAAAATAGGTTGAATGAAAAAAACTGAGTTGAAGAGAACTTTATTACAGCATGGTAGAATTTATGCAAAAATTTGAAAATAAAAAATAATACAAATGTGTATATAACAAAATATAAAAGATTAAATTGAAGAATATGTGACATTTTGATAGTGGCTGGCTCTGGGGAGAGAAGAAAATGGAACTGAGGAGGGAGAATTTAAAGTACTTCCATTTTATTTATAATATTTTTCTTTATAAGATGCAAAACCCCACAAAAATGAATTGGACAGAGGTATATTACAATGTTAATAGGTAGTGACTGTGGAAGGTAATACTTTGGACAGTATTTTTCCTACTCTTCATATATTTTATCCATTTTTCAAATATCCAAAGATGACCAAGTATTACTTTTATAATTGTCCCCCTATTTTTTAAAACCATTCATGTCATAGAAACAATCATGGCAACCTTCACTTTAGAAGAAAAGCTGGGTAGCAGTCAGCAGGTGACATGAGAGAAGCCTTATCACCTACATCTACTGTCCTTTCCTAGTCAGGTGAAAGCCAGTGGGCTTACAGAGAGATGATAATTTATAACAATAAGATGTTCTGACTTCAGCAATACTTATGATTCTCTCCTATTTTGTACTGACTGCGTGGAGAAAAGAGCATCTGGAGTCATAATTTTCATTAGAATTTTCCCAGGGTCACAACCAGGTTAAGCTATGTGGGTGAATCCCTAGTGATTGTGTACATATTTAATATATGTGGCCTGCTTTTAGCCATGTTCAAAAAGAAAACTTTCTGATACTTTTTCATTTTTTTTTAATTTTAACTTTTGAAGTAAAGTTGATTTACAGTTTTGGTACTCTTTCTAAATGTATTATGCCCTAATTTTTTCTTCCTCCTCAAAATCTTCTCACTCTCCCACACTTAGATCTCTTAAACCAACCTCTCTTTCTATTGCTTTCTTTCTCATTCATCATTTTTTAAACCAATCAAGGCAAAAGGCAGCCTGTCACAATATGAGGAATGTGGGATTTGAAATGAAAAACAGTGGCTCTACTTCTGATTACTTGCATGATTTGGAGCAAATGACCATCTTTCTGTGCCTCAGTTTATCTCTCAGATGGAGAAAGTATCACCTGGACCTCCGGTGAATGAGTTTGCCAGAACAACCAGATCACAGCTGTTAATGTGATTTGTAAACTAAAAAAAAAAAGCCCAGATCAAGGTTTACCAGCTTTCTCAAAATAAATGAGCAGCTCTAGGATATCCAAGATGGAGGAAGGGTGTAGCCATGTCCTTGACAATCAATGAGCTGAACAATTTGAGGTGTTCAGTTCAGTCACTCAGTCGTGTCTGAGTCTTTGCAAACCCATGGAATGCAGCATGCCAGGCCTCCCTGTCCATCACCAACTCCCTGAGTTTACTCAAACTCATGTCCATTGACTCTGTGATGCCATCCAACCATCTCATCCTCTGTCATCCCCTTCTCCTCTCACCTTCAATCTTTCCCAGCATCAGGATCTTTCCAAATGAGTCAGATCTTCGCATCAGGTGGCCAAAGTATTGGAGTTTCAGTTTCAGCATCAGTCCTTCCAATGAACATTCAGGACTGATTTCCTTTAGATGGACTGGTTGGATCTCCTTGCAGTCCAAGGGACTCTCAAGAGTCTTCTCCAACACCACAGTTCAAAAGCATCAATTCTTTAATGAGGTGTCTCTAAATGCAAATTACTCATTAATCTATGAGTTTGTACATGGGACACCCTGCTGTTCAGGGTGTCCTGACCACCCAAATCCATCAAGCAAGTCAGTGACCCTGGTACTTTGTTTTTTAGCTTTACATTTTTCTGTTCTTGGACTGACTTCTTGACCGATATCCCATGAATTCAATTGCATACTGCCACAATCCAAACCAAATGGAAATGTGGTGATATTAATAGTCATTCATTAGTTCAATTTTAAATTAATTTTTTTCTCTTTTTAATTTTTACTTTTCACCCCACGTCTGAGATAAGGAGCAGTGGCTGCACTTTGCTGGAGCAGCCCTGAAGAGAGACCCCGCGTCCAAGGTAAGAGAAACCCAGGTAAGACAGTAGGCACTGATAGAGGGGATAAGGGGGCAGACAGACTGAAACCACAGTCATGGACAACTAGCCAGTCTGATAACATGGACCACAGCCTTGTCTAACTCAATGAAACTAAGCCATGCCATATGGGGCCACCCAAGACGGACGGGTCATGGTGGAGAGGTCTCACAGAATGTGGTCCACTGGAGAAGGGAACGGCAAACCACTTCAGTATTCTTGCCTTGAGAACCCTGTGAACAATATGAAAAGGCAAAAAGATAGGACACTAAAAGATGAACTCCCCAGGTCAGTAGGTGCCCAATATGCTACTGGAGATCAGTGGAGAAATAACTCCAGAAAGAATGAAGGGATGGAGCCAAAGCAAAAACAACAACCAGTTGTGGATGGGACTGGTGATAGCCAATACTTTGGCCACCTGATGCAAAGAGCTGACTCATTGGAAAAGACCATGATGCTGGGAAAGATTGAGGGCAGGAGGAGAAGGAGACGACAGAGGATGGTATTATTGACTTGATGAACATGGGTTTGGGTGGACTCCAGGAGTTGGTGATGGACAGGGAGGCCTGGTGTGCTTCGGTTCATGGGGTCGCAAAGAGTCGGACATGACTGAGCAACTGAACTGAACTGAACTTTCACCAGTATATACTACCTACTTGCTCCTTTTTTATTTAATTTTTACAATTTATTTATTTATTTTAATTGGAGGGTAATTACTTTACAATATTGTGATGATTTTGTGTTTTAGGCACTTGTCCTTGTAGAAGAAGTGTGTTAGTCACTCAGTCATGTCCAACTCTTTGCGACCCCATGGATTATAGCCCACCAGGCTCTGTCCATGGAATTCTCCAGGCAAGAATACTGCAGTGGGTAGCTGTTCCCTTCCCCAGGGGCTCTTCTTGACCCAGAGATAGAACCAGAGTCTCTTCCATCGCAGTCAGATTCTTTACTGTGAGTCGCCAGGGAAGTCCCATCCTTGTAGAAGGAAATAAGCAATAAACTCAACCAGTCAGGAAATTATATAAATTGTTAGAAAGTGATCTATACTCTGTTATATGGGTGTTATAAGACAGGGGGAAGGCTAAGGACTCAAAGGTAGGACTGCCTTTTGATGGGATGGTGTCGAGGCCTGGAGAAGGTGCCTCTTTTGTGCATATTTGTGCATATTTGTTTTCTTTTGCTCCTGTAAAAAGTTACCCCAAAACAGCACATGCTATCTCAAGGTTTTTGTAGGCCAGAAGCCTTGGGTTGGCTTGGCTGGTTCCTCTGCTTTAGGTCTCACAGGGCTAAAATCAAGATATAGACAGGCTTGGACTCTTATCTGTGGACTACGGTGAAGAATTTGCTTTCTGGCCACTCAAGTCTTTGGCAGAACTGGTTCCCTGAGGTTGTAGGACTGAAGTCTTCATTCCCTTGCTGGCTCTCAGCTGGAGTTCTCTCAGCTTCTAAAAACAGCCTGCATTCCTTTCACAGCGCAGCAAGGCCTTCTCACGCTTTGAATTTCTCTGACAACCTCCTGCTACAGTTCTGCCCTTAGTGGGAGAAAGCTCGTTGCTTTAAAGGGTCCATATGTTTATACTGGTCTCTTATCCAGGATAATCTGCCTACCTTATGGTCTCTGACTTTAATTACATTGGTAAAAACCCATTTTTTTGCTATGCAGTGGAACAATTACAGGTCCTAGGGATAAGGTTGTGAGCATCTTTGCAAGGACATTATACCTCCCACAAAGTTTAAGGACTCCAGCTGCTGCGCCAAGGAAGGTCCATGCCTGGGACACATGAGATTCTCTGACAGCTCACTTTTGGCTTTGGGGCTTCCCAGGTGGTGCAGTGGTAAAAAATCTGCCTGCTAATGCAGTAGATGCAAGAGACACGGGTTCCATCCCGGGGTTGGGTTGATCACCTCGAGAAAGAAAAGGTAATGCACTCCAGTATTCTTGCCTGGGAAATCCCATGGACAGAGGAGCCTGGACAGAACTACAGTCTGGGCTGTAGTTCATGGGGTCACAAAGAGTTGGACACAACTGAAGCAACTTAGCAAGCACATTTAAGAGACATCCTTGATTTTTGATCCTCAGTCTCTGTAAAATGAAGCAAATGATACAGACATAACTGAGCATTCACACACATGCACAATTTTGGCTTGAGGACTCCCTGAGGACTTTTTGGAACCTTCCTTAGATAGTGCATGGCTTTCTAGCACTCTGTCACCCAACTTTCTTTTCCTCTCCCATTCACTTGGGTCAGGTTTACATCAAAGGAATTTTCCCTAATAAAGTCTGTGCACATTGAATCCCATCTTGATGTCTGCCTCTTGGAAGACCTGGACTCACAAAAGTGGTACACCAGGGGAGATAGGCAGGTAGGAATGGGCATCTGGGCTTGGCTCACCCACCACCCAGCAGCAGATGGAGAGGATGCTGCGCTGGCTGGTAGGAGGGACACCAAATTCCCTGACATGTGATATCATCTCCAACTCTAAAGATTTCACTGGGGATGATCTAGAGATGAGAATGCTGTGGCAGGTGTAGTATATGGGCATTGTAAAAAATCGGGGAGCATTGCCAATAAAGACATCAGAATTAGTCAGTTACTGCTAAGCTGTGTTCACACTTAACAGAAGGAAAATGAAAAAATGGGGCTGTCAACAAGTATGACAGTCTTAGGGCTTATAAAGAGGCTTTTATGTCTTATAGTGGCAGGGCAGACATAGGCTGAAGATCTAATTGTTAGAGTTGCAGGGATGTTTGAAATCAGTCAGTGCAAGTCTACTTTGCAAAGTCAAGGGATCCTGAAACATGGAATGGGGATGTCTTAATGGACGCCCCTGAGGGTGTGGGCTATCTCTGCAAGCCCACACCCCTCCTCCCAGACTCTGTGGACTTGCCTAGGTAGCCCACTCTTTCATCAAAAAAACTAACCCCTCAGTTTTGCTGAAGGATGCTGCAAAAGCCTCTACCCAACAGACTGCACAGTCTCAGGCACCCCAACTTCCTTCCACCTCTTCTTCCCTGGGGATCAGACTTGCATCACAATCTGATGATTCGCTTAGCCTTTCCAAGATATCTACCAAAATGTGTCTAAGAGGAGTTTCCCCTAATAAAATCCTTCCACATCTGACTTCTTTTTCGTGTCTGCTTCTTGGAAGATCCAGATAAACAGAGGTGGTCAAGGAAGGTCTCAGTGAGAAGGTGACGTCTGAGCCCAAGTCATGCAGGAGGTGGAGGCAGCTAGCCGTGAGGGAATTGGGAAGAAACATTCCAGGTGAGGGGACGCAGTAGCAAAAGCCTTGATGTGAGCCCTCCCTGCTCATAGAGACCAAGAAGGCCAGTGCAGCTGGAGAGGAGGTGATGCGGACCAGCAGGAGCGGGCAGCCCCGCACCTGGCCTTCCCAGGTGGTGCTCGTGGTGGAAGAATCCACCTGCCAATGCGAGAGACGCAACAGATGCAGGTTCAGTTTCGGGGTTGGGGAGATCTCCTGCGATAAGAAAGGGCAATCCACTCCAATATTCTTGCCTAGAGAATTTCATGGACAGAGGAGCCTTGTGGGCACAGTCCATGGGGTCCCAGAGAGTCGGATACGACTGCATACAGCACACCGCACAGTAGTAGGCAAGTTCAGGGAAGTAGGTAATTGGGTGCCTTTTACTCTGAATGACAAGGAAAGAAATTGCAGGATTTTGAGTGAAGGAATTACATGACATAGATTAAGTTTTTTAAAATCTTTTTTTTCATTTATTTTTATTAGTTGGAGGCTAATTACTTTACAATATTGTAGTGGTTTTTGTCATACATTGACATGAATCAGCCATGGATTTACATGTATTTCCCCATCCTGATCCCCCCTCCCACCTCCCTCTCCACCCGATTCCTTTGGGTCTTCCCAGTGCACCAGGCCCGAGCACTTGTCTCATGCAATATAGTTAATTTACGTTGTTATGTTAGTTTTAGGTGTATAGCAAAGTGATTCAGTTATCCATATATATATATATATATTACAAGATAGTGAATATAGTTTTGTGGGCTATACAGTAAGACCTTGTTATTTGTCTGTTTTATATATAGTAGTGTGAATATGTTAATCCTAAACTCCTAATTTCTCTCTTCCCCTACCCTCCACTCTCCCCTTAGGTAACCATAAGTTTGTTTTCATGTCTGTGAGTCTATTTCTGTTTCATAAATAAGTTCATTTATATCAGTTATTTTTTAGATTTCACATGTAAGTGATACCATATGATATTTGCCTTTCTCTGTCTGACTTAATATTGATAATCTTTAGGTCAGTGTATGTTGCTGCAAATGGCATTATTTCATTTTTTATAACTGAGTGGTATTGCATTGTGTATATATATATATATATATACACCACATCTTCTTTGTTAATTCATCTATTTATGGACATTTAGGTTGCTTCCATATCTTGGCTGTTGTAAATAGTGTTGCTATGAATATTGGTATGCATGTATCTTTTCAAATCAGAGTTTTCTCTGGATATATGCCCAGGAGTGGGATTACAGGGCCATATGGTAACTATTTTTAGTTTTTTTAAGGAACCTCCATACTGTAGTCCATAGTGACTGCACTAGTTTATAGTCCCAACTACAGTGTAGGAGGGTTCCTTAAATTCATTTTTAAAAGGCTCTTTCCTACGGCTATCTGAAAATTCAGTTACCAGAGACCAAAGGCAGAAGCAGAAATATCAGTTAGAATACTATTGGAAGATCCAGGTCAGGATGATGGAATCAGCCAAGGGTGGAAGCTACGGAAGTGATCAGAATCTGGAT